ATTTTACGAAGATTTTAGCTGATAGTAATACAAAATCTAGACTGATTTCAATAAGTTATGATCTATTATAACTTATCGGAATCAGTCTAGATTTGTTTTTTGGTTCGTTATTATATTAAAGTGTTCATATCGATCTTTCCACTGATAAATAAAGCTCTACATGTCTTTACTGTGTCACAAATAGGAGACTTCTATCTGTTGTGAATCTGAGGTGCAGTGACATTTCAATTGTTTGGGACAGTCTTTGCATAGATTTCCATTGTACCACATGGCTTACAGATTGTTTTTTGATAAATCCCGTCAACCTTCATGCTAAGAGTATCCAAAGATAACTTTATAGATAAAGCAAACTATAATCGTTTGACATGAAATTTTTATTGGTAATAGAAACAGCACTGAGATTTAGAATAAGAGGTCAAACGCTGTAAAATATTCTCACGTTTGACTAAAAATATCGAGATTGGCCCTCTAATTCCTTTGTTTAAAGATCAATCGTCGAGACGTCAACAGTCTAAAAATTGTTGGCATGATTTTTTTTTTAAAACTCAGAATTTTTCTAACAATTACGATTAATATGAAAACCTATCCCCCTCATCCGAAAGACCGTGTATATGAGAACATAGCTACCTGGAATGAAGTATATTAAAAAAAAAATGTCAGTAGTTGGATAATTACTGGAAAAATCGATTTTGAGAAAAATACGAGAGAAGTGTTTTTTTTTACATAGTTTTTGTATTATTACTTAACATGAAGCTGAAGCATAAATATATTACATATCAATCGAAGCACCTATTTATATAGAGAAATATCGATTTTAAAAAATAGAGTATAAAAAGACTGATTCATAATACGAGATTATCAGAATAGAATGGTTAAAACATTCTTCTTATGATTCACTCATTCTGTTTCTCATATCTATTGTTCAAGTGTTGCGTGTGTATATATGAGTGAATTGCAACTCTATTGTATGATATGATTTTTGAAATGTGTTTCTTACAACTCCGGTTGTTGTGAACCGGCTTTGGTGTTAAGCGTGGTTACCGGCCTTGTCTTCATCTACATACGGATACTTACAGTGACACTCATACCTTAATAAATGTTTTTTATCAATGCTATAGATTATTCGACATTTTTCCTTTCGTTATTTTTCCCTCATACAACAATAAATGATGTTATTTACCATTGTCTTTATATTTGTTATATATTTTTGAACAATGTAATAAAGACAGAGCACTCATAAATTACTTCTTTTTTTTTATATACTTGTTGCCTTACAGTATTTTTTAAAGAATGATAATAATCTTTAGTTTTTACTAATAACTCATAATAAATATAGTATGTTATTTTATATAAAACATATGTTGCGAGTGTGGATGTGCGTGTGATATAGATGTGTGTGAGGCGTGGGTGAACAGAAGATCCACACCTATACCCTCCGATTATTGGAAATCTCAAAAGTATGCCTTTGAGATGCCCAAGATTTGATTACCTATGAAAAATGTTTGTTGCCTTTGCAGCACTAATTCTACAACAGAAATTTTACTGATTACTCTAGACATTACCATTTGTCTAGATAGTTTCAAAGTTCATTCATAAAATCCTCCCAAAACTTTCGAGAATCAAAATTATTTTTATAAATTCATACACTAGAAACTGTAGACGACATGTTTGTATATTTATCTCAAAAATCACTTTTTTTCTGCTAGGAAATCTCCTTAAGTAAATTATTTTGTTTTTACCAATATTCGATTGATGATGAACATTTAGTTTTTCGATTTCCAATGTTAATGTTCGTTCATGATCAGAACGAATTTTTTCTAAATGAGTATTATAAGCAAGTTGTTGACCACGTATATCTTCCATATGACGAGCTTTTAATTCATTTATTTGATTCTATAAATAGAATATTTCTCTAAATTCTATTTAAAATAAAAATAAAAACAAAACCTTACAATATGTTCTTTTTCTAATTGTAATTTTTGTTTAAGTAATTCTTCTTGATTTTTACCTTCTAATCTTTGAATTTCTGTAGTTAAATCTTGTATACGCATTTGAAATTCATTTATTGTACGACGTTTATCTTCACTAGCATTTTGTAATGCCATTAAACTTTCTTCTTTGGATTTATGTTGTTGACTAAGAAGTTGAGTTTGTATTTGTTGTAACTAAATTAAGTATCAAAATTTTTTCGTAGACAACTGCACGTTTTGACATACGTTGATGAGACAAAGAAAAATTTAAAAGATTTTATATGCTTGATCTTTTATATAGATAAGATACTGCGTCTTAATGAAAAATGATTTCGAAGATAAACGAAAGAATTTAAATTTTATCACTAGATATATAGTATTGGTCAAAAATATAAGACCAACGTATTTACAGTTTTTTTTTCCTATGGGATCAAACATTTAACTCAAATCTGAATTTGAATAGTCACTGACGTTCGCTATTAAATACATTCCATACCAAAATTTGATAGATAAACTATGAGAGATAAGTTTCCGAAAAATCAAATATGGTAGTTTTCAGGTTCCAAAAAACTAAGTGAAAATTAGTTTTTAAGAGTCATATCTTAAAAAGTACAAAATCTTGAATAAAATGAGGCATTAGCACGTTTCCTATGACCTTCCCTTAAATAGTTATAAGCATGACAAAAAACAAAAAAAATGCGTTTTTTAGCAATCCTATGATAGATTTCGTTTTTTGTAATGCTTATAACTTTTAAAGGAAAGGTTATAGGAAATCCGGTGACCCATCATTTGATTCAGGATTTTGTGCTCTTTAAGACATAATTTCAACACAATCTTATAGGATCTGAAAACCGTCCCGTTTAATTTCTTAGAAATCTTCCTCTGATAGTTCATCTATAAAGTTTCATATGGAATAGACCTGCATCAAACCCAAACTGTTTGGGTTTGGTACATGTCTAGTTCTATCAGCTGATTGTTGATCCGAACCAGTTTGAGGCTAATAAGAAGAAGACCCTATTTTGTCAGCTCGATTTTGAACTGTATCTCACTCGTACAGATGAGCCTCAATAATATTTAGAGAAAATCGCATCCCATTCTACAGATATAATCTATGATATGGAAAAGAATAAAATTTTCATTTAAAATTGTTTACATATTTCCAAAAAGAAAATATCTTTAATTCTAATGAAATAAAAATTTTGAAAATGATTTCGATTTTTCTTTGAGATAATATTAGTTTCCTGATAACTATTTCTAAAATTCTTTCATTTCTTTACTTGTTGTTCAAGTTCATTAATTTGATTTTGTGCTAATTTTAAATCATTTTGTTTTTGTCTTTGTATTTCTTCAATCGCTTTTAATCTTTCTTCATCTTTTTGTTGTGTAAGGTCTTTTCGAATTTTTTCATAATCTGATCTATATAAAGAAAAAAACATTTAATATTCTCTAAAGAAAGCTAATTCAATTTGGTTTTTTTTTAATGTATTACTTAAATTTTTTTGACCATTTTTCATTTAATTCTGATGTTAATTTTTCTATTTTATCTTTTAATTCATTTGTTGAATTGATTTCTAAATCATGATATTGTTTTTTTAACTGATCACATTCAATCTAGAAAAATATTTTTGTTTTCTTTTAAATTATTTCAAACAAAAAATATCCTATACTTGAAATTGTTCTTTTGTTTTTGATTGTTGTTCTGAATCTAAATGAAGTTTTTCAATTTGTTTTTTATATTCAGAATTTAATGATTGAATATCATTGAATTGTTTTTGAATATTTGAATATTCATTTTTAATATTTTCTAATTGTTTTTTTAATTCATCAATCTATATAAAATAGAATTTTTTTTGTGTTAAATTTTTTTTTTTTTAGAAAAGAAGAACAATGTACTTGTTTTGTATAATTTTCTTTTAATTGATTTAATTGTTGATTAGTTTCATTTTTTTCTGTTTTAGTTAAATTAACTTCATTTTTCCATTGTGCAAGAAGATTTGCTTTTTCTATTTCAAATTCTTGACGAAGTTCCTAAAGATATTTAGAAAACAAAACGAAAAAGAAAAAATTTTATTGAATAATTTAATTCTTGAAATCAAACTTGTTGTTTTAATTCTAAATTTGTACGTGCTCTTATTTGTTCATCATTTGATAATTGTTGATAATGTTCATTTAAACGATCAACTTCGTTTTGCATTTCTTTTTTACATAATGATACTTGATTTTCATATGTTTCACGTAGATCTGTTAATTCACGATCATATTTTAACATAATTTGTTGTTTTTCAACTGTTAATTGATGAATTGTCTATATTGAAGACAAAAAGAAATTAGAGAGAAAAAACATGTAAGGAAAAGATTAATACTTTATCTAATTCATGAATACGTCGTTCCAGGTAATTTGTTGTTGATTCTGTTTGAGATAATTGAGCATGTTGATCTTCTTCAATTTGTCGTAAACGTTGTTTTGTTAGTTCTAATTCTTTACGACTATTTGTTAAATCATCCTCTAATTGATGATTGATAGAATCTTTATCCTTGAGAAGTTCTATAATAATATAATTATTATAAATAGATCAATGTTATTGACTGTAAAAAAATGCACATATATAATTGTCATTAAATATAAGAAGATTATTTTGGGTTTCGACAACGGTAGATAAATATAGACTTTCTCGTATGAGAATGCTTATTGTTTTCAGCTCCTTCCACTGTCAAAAGTCTATTTTCGTTCCAGAATAATTCATCTAACTGGAAATTTCAGGAAATATTGGTGCGAGTCTAGGAAGCTTACAGTAAAAATTACAGCCTAAAATATTGAGTTCTTCAAGAGTTATCCTTATATCAAGAGCCAAAAAATAGGTCTCTGTGCGCCTCCGATTTCTCTCACAAATTTAGTGATACAGATTTTGGGTCGACGTCAAGAGGTAGCCAACACTTACCTCTACAATTTAATAGGGCTCGACTTTTTAAATTCTTCTTTATTAACCTTTCGTGTTAGTTTTTCTCGAAAACTTCGGAAAAATAGGAGTACGCCTATGGAAAAAAGATCTATTTTTCTCAAAAATTAAGTCAAAAATGAAAAACTCGACTATATTAAGTTGTTGAACATAGTGTCTTCTTCAGTTTAAAACCTTCTCGACCCTTCTAGCATGTAGAATGACTGAGAAATTTGGAACGCACGAACAAAAACAATTCGTCTTAAGAAAAACGTTAAACGAAGTTGAAATTTGGAAATCCAGGTTTTTCCCTTCGTAGAGTGATTCACGAGTAAAGTCACAGACTTTCACAAACTAAAATTTACCAAACATTTTCTGTTTGTGCATCTTTCACAAAAACCTCTTAAAAATCGTGGAAAAACAATCAGAAAACTTCTCGAAACCATCTTAAAAAGCTAATGATAATAGTGGTTCCGAAAGTAGAAACTATGGGCTATTCGACCATGTAGAAAGCTCAAAAATTGAAATTGAGACAATAACCCGAGGCCTGATCTTTCGTAAACGACATTGGCATCATGTTTTTCGCCGTCTTTTGCTTGAAAAATATGCTTTTTTTTTAGAAATAGCGAGAATCTTTTTTTTTTGCTTTGATCTCTGTGTGTGCTTTTTTGATTGCACATCCTAGAATTCTCTAAAGAGCTTAATTGTACACAATTGCTGTTTTTCTACTTGAAAGACCATGTGAAACTGCGGTGCCCTTTTTTGAATTAAGCTTTTTTATTATCATATACAAAAGAACTTCTATAAATAGATGAACATTTTTCGAGATATTCAACCAGTCATTCATTTCTCCGCATAAAAAGTAAGAATTTAAAAACAGAACTCTCTCGAGCACTGCAGCCTAACATGTGCTTTCAAACAAAAAAAAAATTAAGTATATAGAATCAAGATCCACAGCAAATTTTCGGTTGTCAAATAAGCTAGTTTGCAGTCGTGCTTGTTCAATATCTTCCAAAAACGTCATGATACAGGGTTGATAATTTCATACGATTTGAATGTACTTGGACAAAGATCGATTTTTGAGAGGTGCATTAGGACTTAGTAAAGCTTAAGTGGATTTGTGTTCATGAGTCTTTCCTCTCGAGTTATGATCAATCAGTTTAGACTATCTCTAATTCAAATAGGACCTAGCTAATGGTGTAAGACTCATGTTAAATTACTTGGTAAGACCGCCTTGCAAGACATTATTTTATAGCATAAGAAATAAAACCGGTGAAACTAGAAATCACAAGTACATGTGAAGAGTGTATCTTTTATATCGCATTATTTGCCTTTTTTTATGCAATGAATTCAAACTCGTTTTTCATTCAAAAAAAAAGGATCACATTACACATAGAAATGAATGAATTTTCAAGAGCGTTCTACTTTGATATGCAATGAAATCAAGCTTTTGAATATATGATTACCTTTTCAAGTGATGGAGAGACATGTTGTGCAAGTGGTTATCGATTCTTTCGATTCTTGTTATTGAAATCATAAACTATTCAATCTACATTTGAACTTTTGTATCTCAAATTTCTACACAATGTTTCGTCAAAGAAAGGTAAAAAAAAAATGTCAAGATGTTTTAAGTTCAGTTCTCGTATTATTAGACAAAATAAGTTCTCGTGCAAAAAATTCCTGTTGAATTGATTAATTAAAAGAAAAAACCCCAAAAAAAGAATTATAACGATTGTTGCAATTCAAATGTGTTTCTTTTTTCGAGAATTTACTTCGTTTTTTTTTACCAGATAAAAAGATCTTTTCAATTTTTAAACTAATGACTTCTTACAAATTAGTTTACTTATTAAATATATAAAGAAGAAATAAATACTAGAGAAAAATTTTTCAAGAAAATCAAATGTTAATATTTCAAATAAGATCTGAACAATAATTTCAAACTAACGAGGGAGATCCTTCAAATGATTAAACTCTATGTGTATCATGTAGACCCTCATGAACTATGAATACTTTTAGAAGAGCTCACGCTCTAAGATTATTGCTGCTGAAAATTTACGATATTTTTTATTAAAGTCAATGTCGTAGCTCGTCTCAAGAACACTAGGAAAACTCATTTTCGGATTTCTACTTAAAACTTTCTATACAGACAGCTTAATGAGAATAGTTTATTGTGAAAGTTTCAGACCATTTGGTTATTCCTATCCCAAGATATAGCTATGATAAAATCTTTTCTTTAGCACTGCTCATATACATTGGCAGATTTGATATTCTTATTTCAGAAAAGAAGCAAGTCAAAAGACCTGAAACTTTCATAATAAACTATTCTCGTTAAGATTTGTTTCCATGCAAAGTTTCAAGTCGAAATTTGAAAATGAATGTGCCGTAAAGGGCTATGGCATTCATTAAAAAAGAAGCACTAAAAATCCGACATCTCAACAGCAATAAGCTACGAGCTCCAACCGTTTTCAAGGTATTCATAACTCATTAGTGTCTACATGATAGACATAGAACAGATTTCGAAGCAATTAATGTATTGATAGACATCCCTCATAAGAAAAGAAAAGATTTTGTTAATGTTTTAGATTTTTCTGAATTTTATTCTCAACTTAATTTCTTACTTAATTTGTCTTCAAGTTCATTAGCTTGTCGATTAAATCGTTCTTTGACTGTATTCATTTCACGATTAGTTTTATCCAACTTTTTCTTAAATTCTTCATATTCATTACGTTGTTTTATTAACTAAATAATAAATTAAATAATAATTAGCTTCTTCTTCTTCTTCTTCTATTTTTTTATGTTTTTGTTTACCTGTTGATTAAGGTCTGTCATATCATTCGAATTTGTATTAAAATTTAATTTATATTGTTCAAATTCATTTTGTAATTGTTTATATTCATTAATTTTAATATCTAATTGATTTCTTTGTTCAATTAATTCTAATTGAGATTTAATATTAATTTGTTCAATT